CGCCACGCTACAAATTAATGGTACCATTGTACTTCTTGAATGCTTGATTTCGGATTCCAAATACAGTACATTCGTTCGTGCTTATCTAATACTTCTTGATCCGATTACGTTATTTCTGGGATTCCCAGTCATACTATGATTCAAATAATTCGAAACATTATATTGGCGTCGCGATGGAGCCTGTGATGGAAAAGTTAGTTATTCATTCAATTTCTGGAGCTTTTGAGGATTACTTTGAAAAATTCGAACTCTGGGCTATGACCAAGGAAGATTATGAGGATGTTAATATTGTAGCACATTTCCTCACATCCATCGGAAAATAAGCATATAGCTTATTAAGAACTCTGGCTTAACCGCAAGAGCCCATTTCGATTTCTTATACAACTCTCGAAGATCTACTGCTAGACTATGTTAAGTATACAAATTTCGAATGTGGTAAAGGAGGAATATTTCGCAAAATGATTCATGTGGATATCAAAAATTCCACTGCATTACGTTGTAGCGTGGTGTCGAGTCGGAATTGACTATAAACACCGCTACAGAGAAACACGTGCCAAGTAAATCAGAAGGCGAAGGTTGAACGCAACCAAATAAATCCATAAAATCCCCGAGAAGCCAAATATCAGAAGGCAGTTAATGGACCAAGTCGAGATATATTTGCTGGCGATCTCGTGGTATAGAAAGGATACCGAGATCGTGCCAGGATACAAGCTTGGTTACAGAACGTAACCGAATTCGCGCGAAGTTACAACCAAAGTGGAGGAATCAGAATGGAAGCACAATATAGCTGTCATTAGCACAGTTAAACAAAAGCACATTAAAACAAGCACTGGTACAGTTGGTTATAATAATAAATGTTTTTATCAAACCAGTCGTGTTCTCGTGATAAATGTGAGTCACTACAACGTCATCCCAACCCAGTGTATACTCACGGTTATGCAGATAATTCATTGAGGAGTTGCGATGCAGTTCACGAAGGTAGGCTCAATTTTGGCCAATGCTTGTCCTGTGGCAGGTTCCACTCTTTTAATTCATGTAAATTTCGTAATTCTAAGTGCTTTGAATGTGGTGATATTGGACATATTCATGCATTTTGTAATACTAGTGTTCATCTTCCTGCAACTGCTATTCAGTCCTATAATTCTGATTCTATTAAGTTGAGTATTTATAACGATCATTTATCTTTACCAACGATTTCAAAAGACAATGTAGAGTCATATGGCAGTTCAGAGTTAAATGAAACTCAGAATTCTTGCGAGACAACAGTTTCTAATCAATCGACTTATCAGATTTCTCATGTTATTGTACAAGATATGGCTTTTCCTAATAATTCCTTGAAAATCTGAGGAAAATATGTTGAATGAACCTAGTCATGGTCGAAAACCTGATACAGCCTTGATAGATGCTGATTTTTCTAATGATCCTTTACTCTTCAATGAAATTCCTAATAAATTCAAGGAAACTATTTCAGAAGTGTCAAAGCTTGATGTCATACCAAATATTATTTGTCCTCATAATGTATTTGTTTCTTGTGGGAAACTTGTTCAATCCGAAGCACGAGTACTAAATGACCTCGATTTTGATTACAATTCGGAGGATTTCATATCAACTGCTGTTCATCCTCATCACAAATCCACTTCCAATGTATACTCTAGTCAGTGTGAGAAATATGTTTTAAATGAAGCCACATTGTTCATAACTTGGGGATACAAAGATCCAACATTATTTCGTGGTGGAGGATAGTGTTGAAAAACCTATGGTTTGAATTCTAGATAATAATGATTTCAGCACAAAACCGACATGCTGATTGTACACAATTCCAGGTGAGTCTGTTCCGATTTCTTTTGTTAATTCCAATACTAATGAGCACATTCTAGATACTACAAAGTTTTTATCCAATACAATGTCGGACAGACTCAGGATGAACTTGAGAAGATGTACAATCAATTACAGACACTTAGACACCAATTTAAGTTGTGGCGGATGTGGTGTTTGAATGAACTATTGATTCCTTTGTAATTCTTGAATGCTTGATTTTGGATTCCAAATACAGTACATTCGTTCGTGCTTATCTAGTACTTCTTGATCCGATCACGTTATTTCTGGGATTCCCAGTTCATACTATGATTCGAATAATTCGAAACATTATTTCCACATACACCAACCAGTTGATGAAACTTTCATACAAACCTGTACAACGGAAATCGTATGTGTCAAACACTTGAATTTAGCAAACAAATCTTAGTGGTTCCAGCACTTAAATTTCATTCACACTCCAAACCAGAAGCTAAAAAGTCTCCTTTCTCTTTTGACACAGTTGTTTTGCTGAGGCCTGTGTCTCTAAGATCGGTGTCTAACACTAGGATTAAAGGGTATATACAGAACTTACTAATCCTATAACTTCACATACCCCGGCAACAGTTTCATACATTTACTTATCATAATTAACAACAGTGAAATAAATTTTAATTAAATGTTCACAAAAGTAGTTGATACCAATCCCTTGCGTTTATCAGTCAATCTTTTGAGTTATTCGGCATTGAATTTGATATCAGACAGGTGAAATTTAATGAACATAGCAAGTGGAACTCACAGACCTTAGTCAATTTGATACTCAACTACGCTTACGTGGTGAAAATGTCGTTTGCTGTGGAAGCATGTGACAGAAATAATTGAATCACGTCCTTATCATTAGTTGAACCAGCTACTGAGCATTCGAATGCGGTTTCTGAGGTTTTTCAATTCACTACTGCTGAAACACTGAAGTATCCTGGCTGCACTACAGTCTCTATTTGAATCACCCTTGGGCATTGCTCTTGAATGCGTACTCATAGTGCAGAAGGACACATCAGCTAGATCAATAAACGCCAGATGCAGGGCTTCATGCTGATGGAGAACAACCGTACCAATCTATATTTGCACAGCCAGCACAGAAGCAGCTGAAAACGCGACTCTGGGATCCATAACCCACATATAAGGTGGTATATATTCGGCGAATGCGCCCAGAAAACAACAAACCGCTCTGCACATTTCAGTCACTCACGGTGATGTGAAGCAGAGGTTGTCTCTGTTAGTGACACGTAGCATGCTAAATGCGTCAAACCACTTCAACCCGTAAATCTTACCAGAAAATGTTCATTAAAATCCTCAAGACAACCCTTGAAAAACTTCACATCAATGAGCAAATACTCAGTCACGTTCCCACTTTTCATCATTCAGAATAGCCTTGAGAATCGCTGCCCCAGCTGAAGAGACATCTGTTCCAGCGGATATCTTTAAGACGAGACATGACAAACACAACCCACTCATTAGATGGTGGTTGGAGATAGTCGACAGGAAACCCTGGACCCGGCTTTCGTGCTACCTGGTACTCGTCAGCAAGGTGTACCTGTAATCCTGAGAGAACTGGTGCTTCCTGGTGGTACCAATCCCGTGTCACCCAGCTTCACAGTAAGTGACACCCAGTGGTCAGTCAATTGTGACAACCCGCTCATGTATTATCATCTAACACTTAAACTAGCTTTACCTAACGCAGTGTCGCAACTTATTTACTATCATCGCTACCACAAATCAGTGACTTCTTCCCATTTTGCTTCAAATGATCTCCATTCATCCATTTATTCTTAACCATTGGTCTTCTCATACAGTCTGCATTAATAATTAATTTATATATTTATATATCTCTTGAGAAAATTGTCTTCTCATTAGACCTGAATATTTTGCTTATTTTTTCATATTGCACACTATTAAAGTGATAAGTGCTGGTTTCAGAAAACTTACTGTCCTGGGACAAGCTCATCCATTCAGGTTACATGATGTACAAATTATAACACTAATAACACGATAAGATAGAAACGATCTCTGATTTGATAATATTGATCAATTGTTAGTTGGATCACTACCTTAACTTGAACAGTTGCAGCTGGACCGAAGTTATTCGAGCAGAGAACTTGCGTGTATCTCATTGAGGGATTTACTACAATGACGATTCCAACCAAATGATCCATTGACAAACTTCAAAACCTGCAAATAGCAACCAAACTAGCTAAAACAACTGCAGTCGAATGACCAGACTAAAAATCATCCAACTTTACCGTGGAAATTGGTCCGTATATAAAAAGCAAGTGAAAAGAAACCAATAAAATTACACGAACACGTCACAAGAACATTGGACTTCGGTTTTAGCCTTGACGGTTTTTCAAAAGACGGTGTCCACTCATAACTAGTAATTCCTATATATTTCTGCCTTGAAGTGAAACAGATATTCTGTGGCTATCGTTAGTGCTTTCAATGTAAAAATTTTCATTTATCGTGCTCTCGTCATTCCCATTTTCCTGCTCAGGTTCTCATTAATTTTGACCTAAGTAATCATGCTTGATATTTTGCGTAACGTGTATAGAATTTCAGCAAAAACATCCACTTTTGTGGCCTTTGTCCCTTCCCCTAAGGAAAAATCAACGCTACTTCCCGAATTCCACGCACATCCTGAAAATTCTAAGTACATTTCCTTAGACGTCGCTTAAATTTCCTCAGAGTTCGTGTACATTCTCGAAGCGTTTTTTGTCAACAGCCCGTTGTCTTCATGAATCAATTATGCACCCCATTAACAACATAGTAGACGGGAGACTTATATTTAAAGGTCGAGATGAATCGTTTTCTAACACTATATGCTCTAAATAATGCGACAATAACCTACACTTTGGGAAGTAGCTCTCCCAAATCTCACTTAAAAACATGAAAGTGATAAAAAAGACTGGGTTGCTATAAAAACGAAGGGCGGTGTTATTTCCATCCTGAATTGAAACCTTTTAGAAGTAGTTTCATTGTTGTCTATATCGTTCACAATACAGAGTTTAGTGTATTTTCTACTTCAGTGTCGTATTTTAACTCATACTTTTCTGTTCAAGATTTTCACACTCATTTCTCACCCACATCTTGAAAGAAGTTACAGGGCACAAATAAACCCATCATTGGCTTGGTGTTCGAAAAAAGCATGCACAATGGTCAAACCAAAATGTGATTCTACTGGTTTAGTTATTAAAACAGGTGGTATCCGTTTTCAGAAGACAAAGGGTCAACATATACTGAAAAATCCCCTCGTTATTACCACAATGGTGGAAAAGTCTGGTATCAAGTCCACAGACTCCTTACTTGAAATTGGTTCTGGAACTGGTAACCTCACTGTCAAGTTGTTAGAAAAGGGAAGGAAAGTGTACGCATTCGAAATAGATCCAAGAATGGTTTCGGAATTGCAAAAACGTGTGCAAACCTCGTAAGTTCCTGTACATGATTCCTATAATCATGTGACAACCAGTAAACCGTTTAATAATTTCTGTCTTACGTGACTAGGCACTGGATGTTATTAGTATTATTAATTCGTCAACCAGTTATACATTCGTATATTTGACTTTGAACCCTGGCGTGTGTAGGTTGTCAATACTACCCGATTAACGTAAGTGGGGTGGGTTTCGAACCGGTGGCTTCCACAGACCTGTAGTATCGACAGCTCTCACACTTAGGGTGTGGCTCAAAGTCAAGTAGTTAGTGAAACTGTGAGTCCCCACTTGGACTTCCCTAACTTTATAGTAGTAACAAACGTTCATGTGAATCTACAAATGACCATATCAACTCTTAGGTGTCGGTGTAATAATTAATTATTAAATGTTGTGGTTACCAACTCTTGCTAATATCCCTACCCTTGTGTCCATGTTTCAGTTGTCGGTTTTGTGGCTGTTGTGCAGTACATATAGAGGTTTTAGACAGTCAACTCTATACAGCAAGATTGGTCTCATGACAACACCATTACCTTTAATATATCACCATTTTCTTGAGGATGATGATTCACATTTGATGTTTGTGTTGAATACATATAAATACATGTAGTTTAGTCCCTCGGTTAACTCAACGTATATATAAACCTGATGGTGTAAGTTTCAACACTGAAGGTAACGATGTATCAAATAGTAGTCAAATTAGCGTACCGTTATGGTGTGTTAGTTACTTGAGCTGTAACCAATAAACGTTTACAGTTCCCAGGAGCTAGTTATTTGAACTGTCATCACTATGGGCAAATTATTTTATTTATTTATTTCAACACATAGATAATGGTACAAAGAGGCACCAAATACATATGCGCCACACAAATCTCATTCGATATGTGTGAGGGCTGTGATACTACCCGGGTGCCCAAACCGAAGCAGGTGGTTTTCTTAGGGGGCCACACACATTTCTAGGCCACACCATTACTCACACAGCATTGTTACTGGATATGAGCAGCCCTTCAAAGACAATGACGATCAAAATGGACATTCTCAAAACAGAGGTCGTAAACACTAAAAGGAGTCGATTCTAAGTAGTTCATTTTGTTTCTAAATAGTTGTACCATAATTCAGATTCAATAACAGCTTCCGAAAGTAACCATTCGATGACCTAGTATCATTTGGACAGAACAGAGTTCTCAACTGAGATCTACAATTGAACGAGTCGAAAATTTAGATGTAAAAAAATTGTAAGGTACATGGGAACAGAACAAGAGAGGACGTTAAGGTGATATAAAACACATTTACAGTAAAATGTAGTTTGATTGATTAACGTACAAGGTAAGTCATTATCCCCATTAGTTTTTGTCTCTGAAGTCACTAGAATTCTTCTCTTACTTAAGCATTGATATACCGACCTCACTGTTTGACAGTTTTATGAGAACCACACAGGGAAACTGCGTTTCTTTGATACTTTACACTCAAAATTACATTTTTACAAATAGATTTGATCACAACCAGTACATTAATTTAGAAAGAAACCGTTTCGGTCAACATTTCTTGTATGATCAGGTTACTTTTCTGTTTTGTTATAACTGATCAACGTTGACAAAAGCTTCACAAGTAGTAACAATGGAATTCTCATATTGCACAGTTTTCCATTTATTTAAATCCAGATACTTAGACGATTTGGCTCTGTTGTTCACTTCATTCTTCTCTAGTTCTGTTTGCTTTTACCTTATGCCTAATATACGCGTTCGCGAAGTCGCTTGAGGCGTCTATCCGAATCATCAATTATTTGCGTCAAAAACTGTATAAGTAACTACTCCTAAAACTATAAGCCGTCTAACCTATCATCCATCTATTCAAAACAATCATTTGTAATATTAGTAACTATCAGTGTTAGGTTGATGCACTGTTACGTCTCATTTTTTTAACTCCACTGGATGTACGCATTGCAGAAACGTTTTAAGCCAGTGCTTTTCATGAAATATTTGTCAGACCACATCGAACCAAACTAGAAATTCTCGTTGGCGATGCAATCAAAGCAAAATCATGGCCCAAGTTCGATCTCTGTGTGGCAAACCTGCCATATAAAATCTCCTCGCCATTCATCCAAAGACTGATTAGCGCAGGTCGTGGTTTTAGAGCAGCAGTTGTTATGCTCCAGAAAGAATTCGCTGATCGTCTTACGGCTAAACCTGGAGATAAATTATACTGTCGTCTGTCAGCATCTGCTCAGTTCCACTTCAAAATTGAACAGTTGATGAAGGTAGGTTGTTAAATATAATCGCTTTAATGTTTTTTTTACTTTTTCTTCATATATGTTAGGTGAAAACTTGTCTTTCATACTTCAGGCCTATAAATTATTCTCATCCCACCACTCTTCTTTAGCCTCTCAGTCATCACGCGACTTGTTGGTATTTAAAAACTCGAATCACTTTGCGATGTAATATCTCTCTGTTCTCCTATAGGCTCATATATCTACCAAACAACTATAAATACGAATGTACAGCTTAAGTAAATTATTTTATAAAAAGAAAATTCTGTTTATTCTTATTCAACGACAATGAGATACTCTAATTATCAGAACGACAAATTTACGGTGGACGAATCCACTTGACTAGTTCTGACTCCAAAGTGAAACCGTCTAGAATTAGTTCGTACCGCTTAAAGATCAGAATATTCTTGAGCAACCTGTCATCAGACGCGTTCGGTTTTTAATAAACGTAGGTTTTCAGAAATATAGGAGCATTAAAATGAGTTTAAAAATATGTTATTTATAGGAAGTTTACTGAGTAAATCCCAGCATCAAGTAACATTACTGATTCTTTACATTCAGCTTCATTTGACTTATTTGAAAAACGAAGGACTTTCCGCTACCGAAAAGCTACTCAAAGTTTACTAATGCTGGAAATTTTCGGAAATACTTAAAGATTATAATGGGTGTGAATATTACTTAAAATCAGATAAGTATAACTAGTAAACTAGGAGCTAATTGCGTTTGTACTAACTATACAAATGGAACGAAATATCTCGTCTACTAGGAGTTTCGAAAGTTTGCGTTAACATAGCTGCTCACTCCTAATTTTTTTTAAACGTTTGATAAACATACACTGTAACTTCATTTATCTGTAGTTATAAATATTTGGGTTACTGTAAATGTTGTCCAAAGGCCACTAGACCCTTTCAAGAATTGCATGGAAGGTTATCTAAGGTCACTATTTACTGTCAATAGATTTGAATTCCTACCATACATTCGTGCTTCTGATATTTTAAGGTTTTATCTCATGATGATGATTTAAACGTAAAGAGTAAATGATGATAGTTTGGGTCGAGCACTCAAATGGAGTTCTTTTTTATTTACGTATCATTAACTACATCTCGGCTAAATTTCTCATGTGTATTTTTCAAATGTCGCTCTGGTAATAATTCACAAAATGAAATCATTTAACATATAAGGACGAAGGTAAGTAAAAAATGATCAAAGATGCATATCCATGTTCTTTCCCCCACTGGATTAGGGTATAATCCGTTATTTTAATGCATATTGTTAAGTCAGCGATTGAGCATATTTTAGACTGTTAGGTACGCTAGGAAGCTAAACTGTGAACCCAGAATAATTTATCATTCGAATACTCGTACGTGTTAGAAAACGGCAACAAGATATACGAAAATGTCAAGAATTAACACCGCATGTACAAAACTTCACTACTATTTCAGTTTTTCATGTCACAGCTTACACCATTTTAAGTTGTTTAACCCTTATGTATACTATTCCTTCATTGTAAGTATGTTCAAATATCACAAACAAGCCACTAAATAAACCTCTTACAATTTATTTTAAACATTAGATCAATAGAAACAGTTTTCGTCCCCCACCGCGTGTTGATTCAGCTGTTGTTCGGATTGAGCCCAGGCATCCATTACCACCTGTGATGCATTCAGAATGGGATGGATTACTGCGTCTTGTGTTTGCTCGCAAAAACAAAACGATCGGAGCTAACTTTAGCGGCAAGTCAATAGCTGCACATTTACGTAAGATTTATATGGAGACTTGTTGCACAAAAGGATTGTCACCAACTCCAGAGGTTATTGCCTGCGAGTCTACTGGTGTTTCAGCAATGGAGGAGAAAATAACAAATATACTTCGAGATTCAGGTTTCGAGAAAAAGCGCGCCCGTACTTTGGACGAAGATGACTTTCTTAGATTATTATTAGCCTTTAAAAAAGAAAATATAAATTTTGGTTGATTTTTCTGTCATGTTCTTATTTTGTAAAGAATTGAGAACGCATGATACATTGTACATAGTCGAGTATATCTCGGCCGTAAGAATATTATGCTAAAGTATGACAAAAAACCCTCACGATCTTTTCTATGATTTACGAAGATTATTTCCATTTCGGTTCTCATGACTAAATGATGGAGACTTCATTAGAATGTGAAATAAATTTATCTTAGAATGCCCTTTTAAATAACATTTACAAGTCCAAACTCGTAATAATATCATGCAGATATCTTTTTGATTGATCTATTCTCTATTCGTACATCAAATCCAGTTTCAGCAGCTACATGTGTTTGGCGTTTTAAAGGCTGATATAAGAGCTGTGAAGAAATATCTTCGAAGTCGCTCAAACGGAAATCAAGTGGTGGAAAGTAAGAAATACACATCGCAGCCCATCAGTTTCCACAGCAGTATTCGGTTAATCATTATACAACCAACTACCATCTAGGATCCAATCAATAACAGCTTTGCTGTTAGACTTTATGTTACCCCACCGCTCGAGAAAAATCCCAGCACTCTGAAGTTAAAGTCAAGTAATTATACTGTTCTTTGTTATTGTTCTTAAACTAAAGCATCGATTAAAAATGTGTTTTTAATGGATAAGGTCGGATTCAAATCAGCGTCTAAGTACAGACATTTTAAGGCCTCAGCCATTAACAATAATCTCATAGCAAGCTTCGGGAAACTTGTGGATGATATTTTCGGAGAATAATATAGGAGAGACACTAGAGATTGTCTTTGAAATTCATGCTATCCAACTTGTAATTGATACTTTGAAGTATGAGAAAGACTGAGTGTGCTAGGGAACTGCCAGAAACATAATTTCACATGCAACAGAGAATAGTCGTTTTGGACTAAACGTCTTGCTATCGTCAACTTAATATGTGTTCGCCCCTATAAAAAAACCTTTAGGTAACAAAATGAAACCAATTTTATGTGAACTATGTACAATATACTTACAAAATTAATACGATCAGTAGAGCATGTACATTTAAGCTACACAAAGAGTTGTCTTGTGGACAGTAGACCAGCAAATCGTTCGTGACTTTTTATTGTACGACGTTCTTTAACAAGCTTTAATCGAAGGTTATCTGCTTGACGTCTTACTTGTCGTAAAATGGATCGCTTGTAATGACTATAAGTGGTTCGAAAACCAGGATGTGATGTAGATAAAGAGCAAGTTCCATTTGTCACAATAGTATTAGAAAATTTGGAAGTCATATTTTTAGTTTCGGCAGTCATATTTTCGAAGGGGTGCAAGTTGAAAACAGTATCTGTCGTGATTGTAACTTCTCCACTTGACTTGGTACTGGACAAGGTGTCCGATCTTAATGGAGCATGAAACACTTCAGTTGTCCATTCCAACTCGTCTTTAACTTCGTGGTGGTCAGTATGAAGAGATACTGGGAAATCAAAAATGATGTATTAAGTACTTGATTCTAATCCATTACAATATTCATTATTAAAGAGAATAATTAAGCAAATATTAAAAACTGGAAATTTTCACCAGTGTGACTACTTTAAGGCTTAAACTATTCATACTGTCAAATAATTATTAAGTTTTGACTAAAGTTCTGTTCTTTAAAATGAATTCGAAGCTGAAAATTATGAACACAAGATGGAACTGGCTAACATTTAAAGAATGAGAATACAGAGAGAACGCAGCAAAGATTTGTGCACGGTTCCTAATCCGGCTTAATGAAATTTTACAATTCCTAATTAACTATGTACATTAGTATATTTAAGTCTTGAATAGGAATCATAAGCCTGAATGGTTTGCAACTTCATAAACAGTGAACTGTGGTTGAAAACTGTCCAAAAAATACCACTCAAAATGTGTATCTAACTACCTGTTTCTATTCTTGAATTCAACATCAACTACTTAGAAACGTCTCACACAATCACCAAAGTGAAGATAAGCATGACCAAAGCAGTCAGTCAGCTACAACCTAGGACCAGGCACATATATGCATCGGCCCAAGTTGTCACACCTCATTAGCAAAACCAGATAAACACTAAATTCATAGAAGTAGTTACTTCAATGGTAGCAGTATATAAAAGAAAGATTGTATATAACGATATAGTGCAGGAAAAAAGAATTAGTTCATAAAAGGAAAGATATAAAGCAATTTTAATTTCATGGTCTAAGGAAAGACAAAAAGTGTATACACCAAAGCACCTCTCCCCATTGTTTCATTCGAGCAGTGGGATTAGGCAGGGTTGCCCAATCTCACCATTCCTCTTCAACTTTGCCATCGATGACATTCTGGAAACAGCTCTGATGGATGTAAGTAGTGGCGGTGTGGATCTGTTGCCTGGAGAAAGACTACTCGACCTTGAGTATGCGGACGATATTGTCTTACTGTGCGATAATGCCCAAGCCATGCAATCCACACTTAATCAGTGGCCGTAGGTATGGTATGTGCTTTGCACCTTCTAAGTGCAAAAGTACTCCTACAGGACTGATTCAGCACTCACCCTGGGTGGTGAGCAAATAGAAATAATCGAAAAGTTCATGTGTCTGGGTAGCTGCATAAGTGCTGGTGGTGGCGTGAGTGATGAGATCAATGCATGTATAGTGAAAGCCAGGGCGGCTTATCCCAATCTGGGTCATCTTTGGCGCCTTCGTGATGTTAGTCTGGCTGTAAAAGGTCGGATCTACAACGCGTCGGTGAGAGCAGTTCTGTTCTATGCTTGTGAAACCTGACCTATCCGAGTTGAGGATATTAAACGACTCTGTGTTTGATCATCACTATCTCCGAAGAATTGCTGACATCCAGTGGCAACACCATGTTAGTAATGCAGAGGTTCAGCATCGCGTGTTCGGGCACAGAGACGGTAATTCAATTGGTGTCACCATTTTGAAACATCGACTTCGGTGGCTTGGACTTGTTCTACGAATGTCATCCCAGAGAATTCCACGTCATGCGTCAATTTCCGACGCTGGGACTAGTTGGAAAACGCGGAGAGGTGGTCAGTGTACATGGTGTCACGGTATGAAAGAAAGCTGTGCAGGACTGGCTTCTGTTGGTCTTTCGTGACTCCATGGTTGGAGTCCTAGAGATAATGTAACGCAGTGGCTAGAGACGTTATCAGATATGGCTCAGAATAGAAGCCAGTGACGATCCTGCTGTAACTTTATTTTGCTTTCTTCATAAAAAAGACGTAATTTCTTTAAGTGGAAGGATTCTTCGTGGTTGTATTTTTGCTAATTGAACTGTCTCTCCCATTATTGTTATTTCATTATGATACACTAATTTCTGTTCATTGTTGTACTTCTTTTTTCTTATACGCACCTTATATTCTTTATAACTTTACATTCTCATTATTATTGTGTGGCGCATATGTATCTTGTGCCCGTTTGTACCAATATTTATGTGTTCAAATAAACAAAATAATAAAATTGTGATTAATTCTGAGCCATGTCACCCAGAGTCTTCAACCGTTGATTACGATAGTCACGCGGACCTCAACCAAGTAGTTTGCAACTACCAACATGGCGCAGACCATAAGTTAGTGACTTTATGAACTCATGCCACGTTTTGGTTTGGCCGCCACTAACTTTCTTCTAACCGTCTCCAACACTAGCCAACAATGCGCGTCGTGGTGATCGGTGTTCAGGCATGCGTAACATGTGGCCCAACCATCTCAATCAATAAAGATTTACAACTTCATCAACTGATTTACCATCATTCCCTAATATCCTACGTCTAACCGCACTATTACTTACCCGGTGATCCCAGCAGATGCGAGCAATATTTCTAAGACATTTGTAATCTAATACAAGAAGCTTACGAGTATCTTATACTATTAACGGCCACGTTTCGCAGCCGTAAAGTAAAACAGAACGAACAGCCGCGCAGTATACTCGTCCCTTAATTGAAAGACGGATATCTCGCCTTCGCCATAGGCAACGTAAGTTGGCGAAAGCCAAGCGAGCTTTTCGAATCCGTGCAGAGATCTCATTAGATACCAACCTATTGGGGGTGATCAAACTTCCAAGATAAGTGAAGTTGTTGACGCGTTCGACTAATTCACTCTGTATCCTTAATTCAGGTGTTGACGCAGGCCAGTCCTGAAGCAACGACTCTGCATTTTGTCAGCGTCTTCACCAAACAGGACTGTCATCTGCGTATTCTAAATCGATAAGTGGACCTCCTGACCAAAGCAAACTTGGTGTGAACAGAATATTGGTATATCGGAAAAAAGATGACTACGGAAAACAAAAAAGTAATTGTTGGGAAGAATATCTGATGATCAACCAAATGTGATGTTCCAGTACTTCGTTAATTAGCCAAGAGCTGTTTAAAAAATAACGCACAAGAGATTGTTATACAAGAGATATACGTAGTAATTTAATGTATGTCTAAAATCCATAAGTTAAAAGGGCCCTAGAATGCAGAACGATAATAAATGATGTGTTTATATATAGTCAATGCATTTTACTTATTAGTTGCAATAAGAAAAATACATATTAAATACACCAACTGAAATGCATAGTTTTTTGCATACTTCTAGAAACCCCAATCTTAGTTTCTTACATTAAAGCCAGTGATAATATATAGAATGATGTCATCTAGAAAATTATAAATCAGAATGCTAATTTATTTATTTTAACACATAGATATTGGTACAAAGAGGCACCAAATACATATGCGCCACACAAATCTCATTTGATATGTGTGAGGGCTGTGATACTGCCCGGGTGCCCAAACCGAAGCAGGATCAGAATGCTTAGTCATTGCCCGCAAGTTTTATCGTTCCATAATAATCAATTCAGTATGAAAATAAAACTTGATTTGGTTAAGTTTAAGTATAATGCTGAATATGTGAGGTTCGAGAAAGCAACTTCAAAGCTACGACGCATTTGTCCATCTAGGATAATATTCATCGAATTATATCAAACCCAAATGTTACTTATGAACCGAAAAACAACCAATTTTATTGGGGAAAACATCGCTAGGTAGTTACAAGACGTTTGATTGCTGAAGAGAATACATGTGAGTATAGGAATGAAATGACGATGAATGAGTGTATAGAGACACAAGATGGGTTAACATTTCCCTGTTGTGTTGATTAGAACTTTGGGTTAAAAATACAGTTAAGAGTTGTGTTTAGGGTTAGGATTAAGATTATGCTAAAACTGAATTTAGGGTTACAATTAGGAGTTAGTGTGTACATTACACGATTAAGAACACACAGCAAACTTAGAAACGTCGATAATTAATGCGAAAGCAGTATATTCTTCGTAAATTCTTTGATTTGCATTATAATTCGTCGATATTTGTTGTTTGATGACTGACTGAAATGGGCTAAGATCGTAAGGTCATTTGATAGTATCGTTTATTTTTTACGTTTGATTCTTAAAGTAGCAATTAAATAGTAGTTTACAATAGAATCCGACAACCATTCAGCGAAACTATTTCAGATATTCTTTATATTACTTCTGTTAGACTGTGATCGACTGACTATGAAAACCCGAATTTCAGCCAACATATGGGTAACTTTGCAAAAATAACCAATGAGTAACATAATTTTGATTCATTCGTGTAAGTGGTCTCATAATAAATTGATATGATTTCCAAGAATTGTGCCTAACAGTTAAGTCTCGATTTATTGGACGGTGAGTGACCTACAAACTGATTTCCCCAAATCGCCTACGAACTTTTGCTGTGTTTATTCTGACAATACTATGTATATAAGCATGTTATCTTACTAAAGAGAAAACCTTTTCTTTTGGCTGGTAGTTTTGTCTTTAAACTAAAATCATTCGACAGCTTACGTCAATAATTTGGTTACTACTGTCATATTGCACCATTGCATATAATCGATTGATCAACATTATTTTATTTTATTTTAGCAATCAGAAATCCGTTCATTAAAATACTAATCCATAACATAAACAAGTATACATATTAAATTATTTGTTTAGAAAAGGCTTGAAGAATTTATTATCTTACAAATAATCAGGACTAAGTCAAATAACAATTTTAAAGCTGAAACGACAAGGACTCATCAATAAAAAAACGTAGACTTACTTTCTGAAACTTCGAGAAACTTTATATTGTCTGACACAACACATGTTCGGACATGCTAATAAACCTTGGAAAAGAAAAAAGGCAGTGTTCTGTCAGGACAGTATATGTCATGAGAACACGCCGACCAAGGACGAAGCTTACGCAACAATTACAATATGAGAAACAAAAGAAAAACCAACTAATTGAAGCAATAACTGTTTACCGGCAGGATATTTACACTCACCAGTTGATTCATGTTTAGAAGATATAAAATTCAATGGTAGGAAATAGTGTATGCACTAATAAGTACTATAATAATATAATTTCACTTTTACCTCTTTATTTTGACAAAAAATTAACTCGTTTCCCACCATACATTTGACAATTGTAACAGGTAAACATATTCCATTTCTCATGCATGAAGTGCAAGTGAGGAAGTCCATTTTGAGGTTACTGTGTGCTCCAGAACAATCTACCAAATGACTAAATGTTTGACTTGAAGCGGAAACAGTCTAAACATATTCTGGAAAGGAATTTTTAAAAATCACAGGGTACTATTCGATAAAGCGATCGAATTTCTGTTATTCAAAGTTAAGAATGGTCATGTAGTTATCGAATACCACGCATCAATGTACGAGAATAAGTTAAATTATTCATCGGATACTTGGATATGAGCCACAATCTAGGTATGAGGGTTAGTGATACCACTTAATTGCCTAGGCTGAAGTTGGTGGTGTGGGGTACAAAACTGGCTAAAAGTCGAACGCCTTAACTTTTAAACCACTGGTCCATATTAATGTGCAGGATCTACGCGTGAAACTTTACAGACCAGAGGAAACAACAAGACGAAAATGTGAACAGCAGATGCCAGTAGTTTCATCCTACGTGACTCAACAATAGCAGGATATTTGGTGCTAGTGGGACGGTATGTTTGACATCAGCACATTCCTTAACTAATTACCAAGAAGCCCCGAAAATGGTTTTCCAGAAAGCATTGCAATAGCAACTTTGTGTTACGAGTTTTATAGTGGATGGACATTAGCAAAAATGAGTTTTGTGGAGATTTTAGTAAATTTCACAGGTTGAAATCATTAGTCAGTTGAAGCTAGACCACCATTGAAAACCTGGAAGCACTGGACGGCCGTTTCGTCCTAGTATGGGACTCCTCAGCAGTGCGCATCCACGAACCCGCTCCCTGCGGGATTCGAACCCAGGACCTACTGCTGAGGAGTCCCATACTAGGACGAAACGGCCGTCCACTGCTTCCAGGTTTTCAATGGTGGTCTAGCTTCAACTGACTCATGATTTCAACCTGTGAAATTAGCAAAAATGACAAACCGGGTACTGGTAAACCTTAAGGATGGAGGTATAGTTCTGGTTAGGAATTTAACTGTACGGTTCAAACAAGCATGCCAAACCGAAAGTGCCCTTTCACTAGATGAAAATGAGGATAATGGTCCAGTTCTAGCAGTTAGATAGATTGGAATCTTAGCTAAAGTCTGGTATCTAGACAATCCCATTTGACTGGGACCTCTAGTCGTTTGTTTATAAGAAAGGACAAAAAACCTCTTGTAACAACCACAGGGGAATCGGTAGGACTAATCTAGTATCTGAAATATCAGCTTCAATGATTTGCCAATTCCTAACTAGGTATCGTGAAAGGTAACCCCAGGAAAAATCAGGCTGGCCTCAGACCTGGACGTAGTCGTATTCACTAAATATTCGCCTGCCGATGTCCGACCATAATTATTTTTTGACCTTGAGACAGCGTTTGACTCAGTTGAACGGGTTTTGTGGCTGTGACTGTCAATGAGAGTTCCAAAAAAGCAAATCAGCTTCGTGCGGGCTCGCTTCGAAAAAAAAAACTACTGGGCGCGTCAAAGCTTATGGCTAACTTACAGTCTATTTTCACTATTTTTATTTAACTTTGTTAAAAACATTTGTTCAGAGACAATCCTCTCATTGTCTGAATTTCCAGGGGCTGATCTACCAGGAGATTCACTTGTTAACTTAAAATACGCAAATTATATAGTCCTGTTCGGTGGAGACTTTGATAAAATGCAGTTTTTTGACAGTCTTACATAACAATGCTAGCATGTTTAGGATGCAACCCTCTCCAAATACAAAATGTTTCTTCGGAACTGGCCTGAGTTAACGCATGAATTGACGGTAAAAAGTGGATTCGAGTGCATCAACTGTTTGAGTTACCTAAAGAGCCTCATCACTCCAAATGAGCTGGTTTCTTATGAAATCTCAGTACAGATTCAGAAAGTTCAACTGGCCATTGCTAGCTTGCGTCACTTGTGACGTAGGCAATCAACGGGTAGGTTTACTGAGCAGCAATTTTCTTCGTTCTAACAAATGGCTGTGAAGTGTGGGTTTTAAACATAGAGAATATTTGTAGGTTACTAATAATCAGTTATGCCTTTGAACTATTGTTTGCGTATTTTGGGACCATAGAGTTAGGAATTCCGAGGTTAGACGACGAGTACTAGGTAAATATGGTGAGTCGATAGATGGTTTAGTGAATCATTATCAACTGAGGTGATTAGAACATTTATTACATATGGCCATCTACCGAATACCTCAGGACGCAATGATAGGTGTAAAAGTAGATTAAGAGGAAGGCAAGGGCGGCTAAATCAAGACGTGGCACCAGTCTGTGGAGTCAGTAACAGTTGAATTAGGCCATACCAATAACGGATGTAGACTGCCTGGTTTGTGTAAGCATGATTGTCGTAACAAATGGTTAAACTAGATAACATGGCTTAACACCGTTCGTTCTAAATGGCACAAGAGCATTTGCTTTATCTCCCCTTAAAACCTGAGTCCTGAAGTCTCTTTAGACCTCTTTGTTTTCTTTTCCCATATCCAGTATTTCTTTTACTATTACTGATGACATTACCACTTCCACTACACTGGAAGAGGTCACATATACAAAGACCACAAGGCAGGCAATAAATGAAAACGAGGCATAGTAGTCTGTTCACTTGATTAACGTCACAGTTTACAGGTTGGACGTGTTGATGAGGACAAATATCTGCACCTATGGATTTAGTACATGATAATCCGGGTTAGCAAATAAAGGCTCTAAGTCATTTCTGTTTATTCACTTGTATGAAGACCGGGCCGAGTTTATGTAGCATGCACACTGAAAATGGAATCAGGCATTGCGGCGCATAACTCAGATAACTATCTAACTGAGCAAAACGTTTTTATTATGGATTCCGGGCTTAACAGATTGCTATGCTATGGTAAAGTGTACTTTCAAAGTAAACCACAAAGTCTCGAAGAAACTTTGGTAAGGTATGATTTTTAAGAGCATTTGTAATAATTTAGAACTCGCCATTTTGTAGGGAATTTTGTGATACCTAAAGGTAGTTTTGGTCGGTTATATATATGTAAAGAAGATTAATAAAGCTTAGGTACTGAAGTCATTTATCAGACCACTGTATTAACTCTCTCCCTTCCAGCAAAATGAGGATATCAAAGTATCCAATATACTGAATAATTTGAAAGGAAATTTTGCAAGAACTAAAAATCCATCCAAAGACTTTTGCCAGAAACAAACTTTTGTTAGTAATTGCGTCAAAATAAAGCAGCCTTTTCTAAACTAAATATAAAGTAATTTACTATTAAACTTAATAGTAATATTCCCACCAAATCAAAATTGATCTATGAATGTAGATAGCAAGTGTGAAATTCTCCGTCTTTTGACTCAATCTCATTCAACAAATTATTGGCACATCAGACTACTTAAACAAATGCATCATAGGCGGGTGGAATTTTACAGATAACAAGTACATGTATCTCAGTAATTCAACTTCAATACAGTTGAAAACTCACAAAGATGCAGTTTTCAGTATTTGGTTAATTTGAGTCTACCCTGGAGGTACGTTGTGTATCCGGGATCTATAAAGAGCAGTGTGGATGCGGATCTGGAAGAAAAGAGAACAAACAAAAGTGACTCGACAACTCAGCAAAGACAGAACACACTGACATTCAATAATAATAATTAGCTATAACACGAGGGTAAGATTAATAAAATACGGTAATGCAATATGAGGGCGTGAGATCTAAAATACGTTCAGTCCAATTAAGAGTACACTAATGCATATTGAATACGGTAATGAACACCAATGCACCATTAATGGGATACTACTTCCATGAATACATCAACAAAAGGATGCAGGAGTAATTCTAAGTCACGATTCGGAAACTGAGAGTTGTAATGAAGGAGCTGATAAAGTTCATCAATTGATACGATCACTTTAGAGACCTAATAAATGCTACGACAAAGATGTTTCGAATCTTCAACCCCATCTATGTGAGTCCCTACCTAGTATCCTGCATCCAAATCCTTCGTGTCCTATTAAAGACGCTGACGTACTTGAGCTCGCTGCGTACGAAGTAACATAACTCACCATGAGCTTTTCCTAATATTTTAAGATGTGAGGACAAATTGGGCGAGACTATAATTTATGGACGAACCAATCAGATATAAGATAACAAGTCACGGATTTGAGCGCAGAATTCATCCATACATTTGGCTAAGTAGAGTTTTGGCATTATAACTGATGTCAGTTCGTGATGAAAACCCTAAATCTAATTTTTAACCCTACCCAAAAACTGTAAATGAGAATTCTGACTGCTTTATAACAATCATTCAGTCCTAATCAGTAGTTGTTCACCCTCAAGATCACTTCAGTGTCGCTCAAAGTTCGTCCATAAATTATAGTCTCACCCTGTGTTAATCCTGATAGATTTCCTGCCACTGGAGGTCCAGCTTCTTGAAAATATTCACTGATGAGGCTGATACTACTTGTTCAGGTTAGGCATATCTTGCTAACGGGGTGCCCGATCTCCGGATTTTGGAGAGAATCTAGAGTTCACCACGAATTCATGTGAAAATTCATAGTTTTCAAGAAAGTCCGTAGAGATCTTTGGGGTTTTTGCTTCGTTTCCCTAAGCTATATAGCTTACCCCAGACAAAAAAAGTTTTCCAAAACCAAGAGATGGAGAAAAATGCTGTCTTTTCAGAAGTTCGTACTCTACACAGTGATTTTTGTGCCAACATTTCTGATTCATTAGCTTCCGCTATGGCTTATCATATTCCAGGCCACTAGGAGAAATCTTAAAGTGGGATCTCATTCCTCTCGAGTGTTCATTGGCTACAACACCCTAACCAAATATGTGGCACAAGCCCCATCGGTAAGTGCTTTTGAGTAAAAACTGAGTATTTACCGAAACACATAGTTAAGATTAACATAAACTAAACGACCAACCTAAGCGAAACTCTCGTTCAAAATCCGCTCTCCAACAATATCCAATACCCAATCTTAGTGATTTTATTGTACGAACTAATGAGTTTCTAGGTACTCCCTATTTGACTTTGGGTGATGACTCCATATTTTTGATACCATAACAATAACTGTTCTTTCAA